TTCCCCACTACACTCTTTAGTTTTAGCTCCTGTAATCAATTTGTGCACAAGGTTGGTAGGTGAGCATACACGGATTATGGAGAAAAATCTGGCTTCTTCCTCCCCCTCCCCCACTGGGTTTTCTCAAGCAAGCCCCTCTCCCAGGACTAAGACACAGAACTGGATGGGATGGTTGGAAGAGGAGGCTGGGTGCTTAGGAGGCTTTTGTCAGCAGCTAGAGCCTGTCAGGTCTCCCCTCTCTCTGTAGCCCCTTCTCCCTCCATCCCTCTCTTTGCCAGCCCCCCTTCTCTGAGGCGCAGATGCCTGTAATGACATTGATTCCTTTATTATAGCCCCTCACCAGTACCACTACCACTGTGTTGCTGGGCAACCAGGCACTCGCACTTTTACCTTTTTGTTTTTCCCTCAAACGCCTGGTTTGGGGGTGGGGGCCTTAGGAGGAGGGAAGAGAAAGAGCAGCACAGCCGAAGGCCCATCTGGTACCACAGGGTGTTAATTACCCTGTCCCCGAACAGCTTGGCATGTGCTCCGAGTAGGAGGCAGCAGCCTCTGCCCCTTGGCGCAGGACACGGTCCTGTGTCTCACCCCACATCTCTCACACCCTCGTCTTGTCTGTCCCACACCAGAAACCTCCAAACGCAAACCAGGGTTGGGATGTCTGCCCTAGTGCACAAAGAGGATTGCTTCTCTCGGTGTGTGGTGAGGTGCGTCCAGAGCTTGTCTAGAGGTGCTGGCTCTGCTGGTTTGACGCTGGCGTAGGTGGAGAGGACATCCCACTGTGATGGAGCGCTGAGGTGGGGGACCCCGTGGGTGCATCCTGGTCCCTGCAGTTCGACCCATTTCCCTTTGCTCCACCTGTCCTCAGTCGGGAGACCGTCCCAAATCCTGTTCCCCATTTTGAAACAACCATTTTTCCTGTGCTTAACCAGCTTTGCTAAAAATAAATCCTTAGATATAGAGCTCTTATGTCATTCAAAATTCATTTTTAATCCCAGTCTGCATCTTTACATGTTTTTTGAATGTTCCCAGTATTATGTATAATTCACTTTCTTTTTAAAATTTCATAATTCATTGATTAAATTGTTAAATATGTGTTTTTTAGTATCTGATATTTTATTATACAATATGGTTATTTCAAGCCTGTTCAATTTTTCATTTTAAGTTGTATACTATGAACAATCTGTGTATAAATATATATATCCACATATGTACATACATACATATGTACCCATGTATATGTGTGTGTGTGTATATATATATATATATATACACACACACACACACACACACACACACACATATCTACTTCTTTGAGTTGTAGTTTTTTCCTATGCTGACAGATCTCAAACTTTTTGGTCCTAGGAATCCTCTTCCACTCTCAAAAATTATTGAGGACCCCAAGGAGCTCTTGTTTGAGATATATCTGTCGGTGTTTACCATATTAGAAATTAGAGCCAAAATTTTTTAAATACACATTTATTCATTAACTTAAAAATAATAAATCCATTGTATGTTAACATAAATAAGAAATTTTATGAAAATAACTATACTTTACGAAACAAAAAATAGAAGAGTAACATTGTTTTACATATTGCAAATTGCCTTAATATTAGTCATAGAAGACAACTAGATTCTCATTTCCGCTTCTGCATTTAGTCTTAAGTGGTAACGTTATTTTTGTTAGAGCTTTTAACTTATATAGGTTGTTGGAAAAGAGGGGAAGAGTTTAATAACTTTTTCAAATAATTGTGGATATTCTTTGCATTACTACAAAACTCGACATGTGACGGTTTCTTTAAACATCAGATGCAATTCAGAATCTGAATCCCTGTCAGTGAATTCTTCATACTTTATTACATTAAGATCATGTATCAGTTGCTTGGAAAATACTGGCTCACTGAGATGTGCAGATCTGCTAAAAATCAATACATTTTATTACACAGTATCAAAAAATCACATTCATTAATGTTACTGATCCTCATCAGTGTCACTATTGGGAAGCCATCAAGCTAGATTGTTTGTTTTGTTTGTTGCTAATTTTCACTTGAAAGCTTGAGTTTTATTATTGGCAACATACACTGTCAGCTGTTTCTCCCTAATTAACAAGTATTAACATACTCGGAGGGCTGCTGCAAATGTGAAAGAACACACGTAAGGAGCTAGGCACGTTTGGGTCTGAAAGGTGGGGAGGTGTGTATTTGCTCACGTAGGCAGAGCATCTTTGAAAGGACATACACGACACCTAAGACCTGGTAGGCTGGTGGCGGAAAGGGTGGGAAGGAGGTTTTTTAATTTTATGAGTCCATAGTCTTTTAACTGTAATTCTGAAATCAAAAGAGATCTGAAAACCAAGGTGTTTCTTTTTTCCCCAGAAAAATAAGGTTGGTCCCACACCTTGTTTGGTAGCAAAACCTGACCTGAAGTGGCATGAAGCTCCTTATATTTTCATTTGTCCCACCGTGACTGCTCACTCATTCTGTAGAAATACCAGGGTATTGGGTATAGTATGCTGCTCCGGAGTGTTACACAACACATATTAGATGCATTCATCTGACCTTGCTAAAATATGAGCAATTCTGAATTCCAAAACACAGCTAGCCTAAGATTATGGATCTTCGTATCCTGTTTTATTCTTAAATTTTGAAACTGGTGAATGCATTACCTATTCAGAAAATTAAATTAAAAAATCTATTAAAAACTTAAATTTAGCCCAGTGCCTGACACAATGCAAGCTCACAGTAAATAGTGGTGGCTTCTGTTGGCCTGTTCTTCCAGGCCTTTCTGAACTGTCAGCAGGTCCGGTTACGGCCAGCACTGCATTTCACCATGACAGCAGCCCCTGTGGGTGCTACCACTTCGATTTACATCTGCGAAGCCTGAGATGCAGAGATTTTGTGGCAGACCCCTGCCAACCAGCCGGACAGTTCCCCTCCCAGGGTCTAGAGCCTCTCTCTCAGTCCCAGTCCTGAGGTCTTTCCAGTTCACAGAGCACCTCTTCCATTAGAGTGGCATCAGCCGGAGTTGTGTGTCCGAGAGAGGAGTATTATTTTCTTCAGGGCAGGGGGCAGCGTATCGGAAGGAAACTGTGTGGTCAGGCTCGTTTCAAATCCCCTAGAGGGGCCCCTTTTAGAGCTGGGACGTGCTGTTCAGTGGGCCCGCCAAGAGGTCATGCCTATGGGTTAATATACAACACTCCATCCTTTGGCTGGTTACCAGATGAAGTAACAGGAGCTCAATTTTAGAAGTGCAAAAATTACCTTCTTTTTTTAAACCCTAGTCTCAGTCGGCACATCCAGGACAGACTATTTTAAAATGGGGTCTGCGCATGTTCACAGCGAGCTCACTAAAGTGTGCATGTGTTACAGGGAGAATGTGTTGAGTTAGCTGAAGGGTCTGTTGCAGTAGTTTCAAGTGTTGGGTCTGTTGCAGTAGTTTCAAGTGTTGGGTTTGGCCTTGTAGCTGCCTTTCTAGCCCCGGTTGTTCTCCATGTCTTCTCCCCTCCCCACGCTGGGGTCCAGGAGAGAAGAATAGAGATGGCTGCCTATTTCAGCGGCCATCAAGGCTCTGCTCTCCCGGGCGTTCTTATAGCCGCTCTGGCAGTAGTTTGTGGGGACAGGTAAAATGCTTGCTGCCCTTTGCACCTCTGGGTCGGTCCACTGAGGCAGGATGTTAGGAGGCCACTGGAAACTGGGGCTGCCTGCCCCATTATCCATCCAATAATCTTCCCTTGGAAACCTCGCCCGCCTAAATCACCATGATCTTGTCCAGCCCCAGTTCGGCAGAACGGACTGGAAAAGGCCCTGCTTGTGGATTCTTTCCCCCATTCTTTAATTAATGGCTTCTTCCATGTAAGCTTAGACTAAGGGCTGTTCACAGGGCTCTCCTGAGGCCTGTCAAGAGCCTGCCACACCCCAGAACTGGCACGCTTGGGTTGCTCACAAGGTCTGCCAGTTCCAGAGACCACTTTTTCAAATCCTGAACCTTTTTTGTTTTGTTATATCCAGATCCTTTATAGAAAAAAAAACAAAACAGGAAATTGGTGAAACTCCCCACTGTTTATATTTTCAGTGTGCTTCTTTCTAGTTTTATTTATGCACACACACCCACACTTTCACAGTTGATTTCCTAGGCTATTGATAATCCCCCTTTCCCCCACAGTTAACACTGAACATAAACGTTTCCCACACCTTTTTAAGACAGTCCAAGAACACTGTTTCCTTGGTTGCATCTAGGGATGTGCCGTAACATACCTAACTGGTCCCTGTTTAGGCCAACCCAGTGCCCTTGATTCATGGTAATATTTTAATTTGAATCATGTGTTCTTTAAGATTGGTACCTAAACATAAAACTCTTGGATCAAAGAATATGAAGGATGCATAAGGCTTTTGAAAGGTAGATCTATTTTGTGGGCGTGTGTTATGTAACATAAACTCCATTCATGTGTCTCGCTCATGCATTGTCAGTGGGGGCAAGTAGGAGGTCGCCATGGTCTCAGCCCTCCGCTGGGCTGCCGTGCGTACACAGAGATGCACTCCTGGTGGTGTGAAAATTTCATGCATGGACCATAATGGAAAAAAGGGTGAGAAGCACCATGCTAGCTGCATGAGAGCACCCCTCTCACTCTAGCCTTGGAAGCTTTTGAATCTGAACTTTTAGTTTTGGCTTTAGAATAATTTTCTGATCTAAAAGATCTTGGTTCATTAGGAGTTTGGGAAAGATGTGAATAAAATGAAAGTTACCAGGAAGTTACCACTGTTAATATTCTTTCTTTCTTATAGACTTGGGCTCCTCCATAGTTTGTAGCTTTGTGTTCATCCATTGTTGGTCTGTGCTGAGGACCACTTTGCAGCCCCCCTTGTGTTATGGTCTCATGCAGGGGCTTGCCCTGTCCCCAAGCCTGGGAGTATATTTGTGACCCCTCTGGCATCAGGTCAGGCCCCTGAGGGCCCAGGCACCCTGCTGCTATGGGACTTACAGTAATTGTCCCTTGTTTGTTTCAGGCGGGATCCCCTGGGCCCATTTGCTGTCGGGGGAGAGGACTTAGACCCCTTCGGGTGAGTACTGCTGGGGAGGTGGCAGCAACACAACTTGCTCTCGAGGCTTTGCAGCCCCAGCTCATCTTCTAATTTTAGAGCTTTTCATCAGTCTTCCTTCGGGGGGAAGGAGACAGGTTGTTGCTGAGCAGCTAAGGAATCGTTCCACTTGCTCTGCTCTGCCAGGCCTGGAGCAGTGCAGGTGAGCTCCGCACGTGGGGGAGGGGCACAGCCAGCCCAGCAGCAGCTCCTCTGCTGGTCCGAGCCCTGTCGAGAGCAGCGACCCTCCCTTGGGCGGCAGGATGCCACTTGGGGTTATCAGGACTGAAGAGCACATGGTGGGCTCCAGACCTTCGGGCAGCTCAGGGCTATTCAGAGGTCACCTCGCTCGATAGGGGGTAGTCTCGAATCCCCATCAAGCTCTGGTTGGGCCATAAAGTCATTGCAGCCTCGGCTAAGCACTGTCTTCTCTAAATGATTCAAATTAGATCTTAACCTCTGCTGCAGAGGGACCCAACTTGAGCATCTAGTTTGTAGGTGGTAAAGTCACATAAGTATGCAGTTAAACTTGAATGTGACCCCAAAGTTTAGTGGAACAGCCGCTCGTGTGTCCTAGTTTGAGCACATGAGGTCAGGTCCATGGAACTTGGTGAGAGACAGGTGCCGTCAGGAGCCAGATGGGAGACCTGCAAGCAGTGCACAGAGAGCCCTGAGGTTCTTTAAGGAAACAGCAAAAAAGCCAGCAGCATGAATTTCCTCAGTGCTGTTATTAGGCCTTAGACTTCAAGTAGTGCCCTGCAGAGCCTTGTGGTGGTTCTGCATTGACCTTGGCAAGTTTTGGCAATTGTTCTTGATCAAATTGTCCTTTTTGGGTGTAGGACATGGCGGGAATCTCAATTTTGTGGGCTCATGGAGCCTGGGAAGCCGGAAGTCCTGACCGTGCTTTCCAGGGAGGTGTGCTCTTTGCGGTCTGGCCCACTTCCTGCTGCTGCTCAGGCTGTCCTCCCCGAGTGCCTGCCTGAACCCGCGGAAGGAACGCCCCAGGCACTTAGTCTGTCCCCACCTCCTTCGTCTCTTCTGTAACAGCTCCCTGCCACCCCCGCAGACGCATTTTTCCTTCTTGCCCCAGGTATCGGAGCGGGGGTATGATCGTGGACCCCCTGAGATCTGGCTTTCCGAGAGTACCTATTGACCCATCCTCGGGCCTCCCAAACCGGCTTCCTCCAGGCGCTGTGCCCCCAGGAGCGCGCTTTGACCCCTTCGGACCCATCGGGACCAGCCCACCCGGGTAGGTATTCCCTCAGGTATGCTGAGAAGTAGGACCTAACGTCAGCCAGCTCGGTGCTGCAGGGGCGAAGGTGTCTGACGCCAGGTGCAGAGCTGCCGGGAGCTCCAGCCCCACTGCCAAGAGTGGAGCTTTCTCTGGGCCTTGCCTGAGGCCCCCCTGGAGCTTCCAGGAGCTCCCCACTCTGCAGAGCCCCTTCCCCCAGCTCTCCTCAGGGAGGACTCAGAGGAAGAGGAGCTCCTCACTTCCTGGAGGTTAGCATGTGTCAGGAACCCACTGGATGCTTACATCAACTTCACGGGCAGATATTACTGTCCACCTTTTGTAGATACAGAAATCAAGTTCCTGGAAGACGAAGAAACTCACCCAAGGTAGAAAAATAAGGACTCAGTCTAGAGCTCTGTCTGGCTGTAGAGCTCACGCTCCTAAACTCCATGAACCACCACGCTGTTCTGCAGGGCAGGCTCCCTCAGTTCAGGGCCCTGTCTGCCCCTGGACCTCCGTCACTGCAATTCACCAGCCCCTCTTTCCATTCCAGACCCAACCCAGACCATCTCCCCCCGCCGGGCTTCGATGACATGTACCTGTGAAGGCCTCGAGAATGTAACACCCCAGCCTTCCCTCCGCTCCCCTGGAGCTGCCATCTCTGGCCCATCAGCAGCCGTGTTCTTGCAGGCTGGGGGCAAGGGATTCTGCCCATGTGGTTGCAGGCTGGCCGGGATCGCCTCGCTCTCCCCGTCAGAGCCAGGGCGCCTGTTGCAGCTCTCCGCCTGGCTGCACGAAGGTCCCAAAGAGACGTCGGTTTGTTTCCCACCACCAGCTCCTCCCCGCTTTCCCTGGGAGACTCCAGCAACATATATCCTCCACCTGATGCAGTGCTATAAGAACAGAACGCATTTTGGATGTTATTATTAAGAGCCAAATGTCAATACAGAAGTCCCGTTGCCGTCTCTCACTTTTTTACTGCACAGACCCTTTCAGTTATGAGACTTTGAGGTTTGACTCCTGTGGGGCCCCATGACTCTCTTCCTACCCATGGTCCACCCTTACTTCAACGCCGCCTTCCTTTCCTAAATTGCTGTTTGCTCCTGACATCACTAAGATGGGTCCCAGTATGGCTGCATGTTGAAAAGGAGTGACCGGAAACCCCACAGGCCGCAAGGACAGCTTTCACATGGGCAGAGATAGTGCAGAAGGACTGCACCCTTCCGGGAAGGGCAGAATCCTTCAGTTCTGTCCGTCTGGCCCTCTGTACAGCTGTGCTGGGGCAATGGCAGCCTATAAAACAGGAATAAGTAGGACACAGCTGGGGGCCAGTCTCATTTTTACCACTAACTTACTAAGTAACCCTAAGTCCTTTCCCCTCCCACAGCCTTTGTGCCCCACCTATGAAATCTGAGGTGCCCTTCCTATTCTAAAGCAATCTGATGTCTGCTTCTGTGTATGGCCAGCCCTGGGAACTGGGGCAAAAGGAAAAGGAGGAAAGTTCAAGGCTTTGTGTGTTACTCACCTACAGAGGCTGTGCTTCTGCCTCTCATCCCTGGTGGGGCCCAGAAGCCCAGGAGCGTGGGCTGTATCAGAGAGCATGGTCCTGAACTTCAAGAGGAGCAGGAGGCCAGCCTCAAAGCCAGTGACTGGGGTAGATGGAAGAATTAGTCAAGCACAGAACAACCCAGGAGGGCATTTGAGCCCCAGGGAGCCCCACTTTGGAAGCCTGTGCCCTCTGCCCCGGACCGCCTGACCTTTGGTGTTCTCCGGATCCTTTTCAGCCCGAGGCCTGACAGACGCGGTCAGTGATGAACCTTGTGCTGGAGTGGAAAGAGCACCATAGAACATCAGGCTCAGAGGCAAGAGATCAAAGCAATGGTCCCTCTGGCTTCACGACTAGCATTTCAACCATGTTTGGGTCCTTCCACTTCTCAGCTCCTTGGGGCTTCTTTGCCCAAATTAGGACATACCATTTATTTGTGGATGGGGAGCTACCAGAGCCTTCCTGAGGCATCTGCTACTGTGCTGTGTCCTGTCTGCCTTGCCTGAGAGTAGGTTAGGGGTAAAATAAACTGGCGCGTGGCCCAGGAGGAGCCCGAGCTGGAGGCCAGGCCTGGGTGGGGAGGCTAGCCTGAGTGGGCTCGCTGGGCATTTCCGGCAGACCCCATCTCAAGCACCGATCTAGCCGAAGACCACTTCAAATCTTTTAGAACATGTCTGCTCTGGAGAAAGACGCAGAGGTTGGACAGTTACAAATGCAATCATCTATCATAGTTTTCTTCCTCAAGGGCCAGCAAATGGGTGGGATGTTTTTGTTTTGAAATTGGATCATATCTGCTACCAAAATTCTTGGGGGCAGTATGCTCATAAAAGCATCCTTTACTACAAAAGGAAACATTTAAAGGAACATCAGACCAGAGACCATCAGACAAGCAGGGTAGATAACTTTTAGGACCCTTAGTCAAAGAAAAGCTTGAAACAATAAATTTGCCACTTAGATTTTCTAGTGGCAAAGGTCAAAAGACTAGTCCTATACATAATTCTGTTTTCTGAAAACAGAAACTTTAGTGATTCATCTGCAGAATCAGCCATTCTGTGTGTGGGGTCTCCTTGCATCAAGGACACTGAGGGACAGAGGTGATGTCTTAGCTGCTACTCGGGGCTCTTAAGAACTTTCAGGTCAAGCTGTCTGTGCTTGTATCAGGCCGTGTCCGTCCCTTCAGCCATGGGCAATCATCAGGCAGCAAATGGGAATGGTTCAGGGGTGTGTGCTTTGGAACCTGAAAGGTTGGAGCCTTAATAAATATCAGCACTTAATAACCTTGTCCTCATTTTTAAATAACTTTATTGAGATATAATTCAGATACCCATAAAGTTCACCCTTTTAAAAAGTGTGCGTTTAAGCGGTTTTTAGTGTATACGCAGCGTTGTGCATCTGTCACTCTATCCAATTTCTGAACGTCTTCCCCAGCTCAGGCAACCTCTAGTCTCTTTTCTGTCTCTGAAGATTGGCCTGTTCCAGGCAGTTCTTGTAAGTGGAATCACATAATATGTGGCCTTTTGCATCTGGCTTATTTCACTTAAAGTTTTTAGGGTTCATCCATGTTGTGTGTATCAGTGCATTGTTCCTTTTTCTGGCCAAATAATACTCCACTGTATAAATATACCACATTTTCTTTATCCATTTATCAGTTGAGAGACCGCTGGGTTGTTTTCACTTTTTAGCTCCTGTGAATACTGTTGCTATGAACATTTGTGTACAAATTTTTGTGTGGACATGAGTTTGTAATTCTTTTGGGTACATACCTAGGAGTGGAATTGCTGGGTCATATGGTAACTAACTCGATATCTAACTTTCTGAGGAACTGCTCGACCAATTTCCAAAGTAGCTGTGCCATTTTACATTCCCAGCAGCAGGGTATGAGGGTTCCAGTTTCTGCACATCTTTGCCGATACTTGTTAGTCTTCTTGCGTATTGCCCTCCTAGTTGGTGTGAAGTGGTATCTCACTGTGGTTTTGCCCTGTGTTTTTTGTTTTGTTGTTTTTTGTTGTTTTTTTTTTTTTTAAAGAACTCTGACCTGGGCCAAACGAGGCAGAGACCAGAGGCAGTCACCCCTGGGAGCAAACCATGGCTTTGGGAGTTGCCATTTGGGGTGCGCATAGCTGGTGTGCCACAGAGGAGTTGGTTTGAACTTTGGGGGAAGGTCTGGGTTAGATGTGATATCAGATAGGTCCTGTCTGCAGGGAAGTTCACGTGACCTTTCCAGGGCTAGTGACATTCATGGCATCACTTTCACTTGGTTTGAAATTTCTTTGTTTATCCGGTGGCTTACAAGTCAAGGTCTGGTTCCAAACTCTGCCTTTTGGTTAAGTGCCGTAGACACTCACACTACCGTCTCCGGCAGCCCCACAGCCCCACCTTCTCTTCCTTGCCTCCCACCCCGTTTTTGAGCTGGCTGTGTTTCTCATAACTTCCATCTACTCAGTCACGAGCTTCTCCGTCAACCTCCATTATGAAGTCATGAGTTTCTTGAGACCCCGACTCCAAGAATTTATCGTGCTCAGGAGGGAGATTGTGTGTTGCTCTTGTTCTGGATGCTCGGTGCCTGTTGCTGCACAGTTAGAAAATGGGAAGCCAGCGCCACACAGCCTCACTCTTTGGAGCTCAGCTTCCCCGAGGGCCTCCCTTTCTACTGTCATGATGACGTTCTCCTACTGACCCGTGCCTCTTCACAGAAGGAAAAGGGGCATCTGTGGGACCATTAATAGCTTGTCGCCTTTATAATCTTGTCTGATTTGGTGCAGTTCCAATAAGACAGGTCCCACCACCGAAGAGAATAAAGATTCCCCACGTGCATATCCTCAGCTTTGCAGTAAAATGCACACGCTTGTGGGCCGTGCCTGACTTTCTGCACCTTAGGAGAGATTCAAGGACAGGCAGCTAAGTCCCCAGCCCTCGTGTGTTCTTGAAAGTACCACAGGGCACACCTCAGTGACTCCAGCTGTGCTTGTCCCTGAATCTGACCTGGAGGGTGGGTCAAAAGGCAGGAGTGGCAGGCAGTGAGGATGGGTGGGGCAGTGATGGATGACAAGACCCAGCTGACAAAGGACAGACCCTAGAATGCACAGAGCAGCCGTGATAATGAGGTTTGAATATCCCACTACTGGTAGGGCTGGGTAGGAGGTACCAAGCAGAAGGCACAGTCTCTGCTGAGGCTAACGATGCAGTCTAATAAAGGAGATTGGATGACCACATGAAAGGCCATGTGCCGTATGAGCTGCGTAAAGTAAAAGGTAAGTGTTATGAGACAGTGTGATGGGGGTTCAGAAGGAAGAGAGAGCAGGGGGAGGGTCCTGCTGAAGTGTTAGTTCTGGGGTTTGGTTAGTCCTGGGGTAAGTGGAAATGGCTTTAGCTTTTTTAAAAAAAAGTTTTGGGTAGAAAGATCAGCAAGATTACATCATCACTGTCAGGATCTATGGATCAGGGAACTCTAGAGCCACATAGCAGTTGCTCAGATCTGCAGCAGAAAGCGAACACCCTCTGTACTGCCACCTTGACTTCAACTCAGTTCAAGTTCAAGGCTCAGCCCTGACCAGTGTGGCTCTGTTGGGCATCACTTCACAAAACAAAGGGTTGTCAGTTTAATTCCCAGTCAGGACACGTGGCGGGTTGCAAATTCTGTCCCCTGCTGGGCATGTGCAAGAGGCAACCTACCAATATTTCTTTTCCCTGCTTTCCCCTCTCTCTAAAAATAAGTAAAATTTTTTTTAAAAATCAAGGCTCAATTGAATGCCTCTGATACAACCTACATCACCTCTAACCACAGCTACAGGAGAGCCTGGGAAAATGTCTTTGTTCACTTTTCCCGCCTCTGCATTCAGGAAGGCACATTGAGACGGCGGTCTGGTGAGCTGGCCGCCTGTGTCTGCCTGCACCACCAGCCGTGGAGCAAATGAGCACCGTGTTCATGCTTCCCCAGCTCAGCTGAGCCAGTCTCCATGATAGTTCAGCAAAGTGCACTGAGTGTTCTGGGCAAAACCCAGACCAGCATCCAGATCTCAGGAAAGGGCCTTTAAATCTATTTTTTATGAGTTCCTCGGGCTGTTCATTTTACCAGGCAAGTTCGAGAACTCCTGAGGAGGGAAGGGAAGACTTTCTGCATTCTCGCTACTTAAACCGTCAGCAACAGCTGGGAACTTGTTAGAAATGTGGGATATGAGGCCACACCCAAGGCTTATTAAATGAGACTGCATTTTAACAATTTCCTCAGGTGGCTTGTGTGCATTTTAGAGTTTAAGACACTTCAGTGTATGAACTGTTGATACATCTTTTTTCTTCACCTGGATGTCAGGTGCAGAGAATTGAGTCAGTCTAACTGACTCATGGCGCACTATGACTAGTGCATGCAAGAACCCCCACATTTTAAGTGTTTCTACTTTTATCCCTTGTATCCACTCCATTCCCTTGCCCCTATGAATCATTCAAATGTACTTCATATGTTTTAAAATATGCATATATCCTTGTAAAGTAGCATATATTATATCTTCATTATATAAATAATAACCATAATAAGATAACTATCCTCATTTTCTAGACCAGCAAAAGACTTTGGAAAAGGTCAAAGCCAAGCAGGAGTCTCAGAATCAGGCAGGCATGGCTGTGACTCCCAGCCCTGCCTTTGGTCATGTGGCTTTATCTGCAAAATGACCATCACCTCTACCTTCAGGGTGGTTGCCAGGTTCAGCCAAGTAATGTGCCTTAACAGTTGGAGCTTAGTGGCTACCAGCTACTATTATTACTGAGGACACATGAGTAGATAAGCCTGGGGACTTGTGGATAAGAGGAAGGGAACCTTAGGCTGCCTTCAAATGGTGGAAACAAGCATTTATTTGGTACTCAGTGTGCTAGGCTTTTCCTAGTCTTAGTATCATAATCATCCCTGACATAACACTGTTAGCAGCATTGGTTGAGGGGCTGGACTTGCCCCCTAGGGGCAGTAGAACTGTGATGGGAACCTGGATCAGCCTGTCTAAAGCCAGTGCTCCTTTTATGGAACTGTTGTACCCTGTGCAGGTGAGGATCATGGATCCCTGGGCAAAATCCATTCCTGAAGCTGGAGAACGAAGTCAGGTCTTGGATGAGACAGGAACATAAACCCGAGATGGTCTCAGACTCCTGTGACTCAGTCCCGTTTGTGAAGTGTGTGTCGTGTATCAGGGCACTTTCACACACCTACGCCCAGGGCACCCAGGTTAGGGGCATCTGAAACCACCTAGCACAGGACCCGTTACGCAGAGGAAGAAACAAGCCTGTGAAGGTCCCTCTGTGAGGGTGAGCCCCTGCACAGATTCACTCGCTCCAGAAATGGGCTTGCGCTCCCTGCAGGGCTTTGTCACCTGATGTTGCTCAACTCTAGTAGGACAGGAGCTACTCTCCATATTGAACAGATGAAAAAGCAGGCCCAGAGCCAGTGACCTTCCGAAGGCCATGCAGACCTCAGAATTCCTAGTTCGGAGGCTCTCCTCCTATAAACTGCCTAAAACAGTTTGATCCCCATTATGAATCTCCCACCTCTCCCCTTAGCTAGTCGGAGCATTAAGAGGAAGGCACTATATAGGTTCAGCACCCTGGTCAGCGCCCACCTGCGCCCTGGTGCAGCTGCCACAGGCAGCCCTTAGGCCAGGTTAGGTCGGAGTTTATTGCTTCCTAACCCAGGATATCCCACTCCTGGGACAGACGGGCATCTCTACGAGAAGGGGACCTGTGCCTAGGTGTCCTCCCCACTCCTTCAGATTAGAACCTCAGGAGCAGTTTCAGCCTGTGGGTCTCTTGGTTCCTGGGACATAAGTGAGAAGCCTGTGAAGAAGACAGGGATGTGCAGGGGCCCTGAGCCTGGAGACCTTGGGCAAGTCCTGTCCCCCCTTTGGCTCTCCCCATCCATAAAATGGGGATAAAGATGGGCCTGACTCACCAAGATCCTGCCCATCTGTGAGATTCCGTGATTCTAAGGAGGCCATGGACCCGACCAAGTTTGGTGCTCCCCACTGCCCTCCTCTTCTCCACAGAGCTTTCCAACTCATATTTAAATCACGGGCCTTCAAGGGGCAGCCCACAGCCCTGATCTGTCCATAGACATGCTCTGACTGTCCTGCATATTATTAAATTTGGTAAGATGCATGATGGCATATTGTTGGGTTTGAGCTTTGACTCCTCTATTTACCAGCTCTCACCTGTGACCTTGGGCAAGTCACTTAAGCTGCCTGTTCCTCGGTTTCCTCATCTGTGAAATGGAAGTCATGATAGCATCCACTCTGCAAGGTGGCTCTGAAGTTTAAATAAGCTAGTGGATGTAAAGAAAAGGGTGCCTGGTTCAGAGAGGACACTACTCCATTTAAAAGTGTGATGACCTAATGTGTGACGCATGCCCGGTTCATTGGAATGTAGGAACATGAAGCCTTTTTATCCAACTGACCTCTCTCCAATCCGCCTTTCTCAACTCAGCAGCCCAACATAACTGGTCACTCTGGCTTTTAAACTCAGTCCAATTTAAAACTTTTCTGCTCACATCCAGTTCTAAGATGTCTCCTCTGAGCTCCCTTGCCCCACTGCGGTGGGTTGGGGTGGAGGGAGGAAGATAAACTGTCTTTTCATGGGCCATGGTGATGGGGATGGTGGGGGCAGGTGCTCTTACTCTAATTCATACCAGGGTGTTTGTGTTTGGGGTCTTTTTGTTTATTTAGTTGGTGGGTTGGTGGGTTTTTTCTCTCTCTTTTCCTCCCCTCCCCTCCCCTCCCCACCCCTTCCTCTTATTTGATGATGGGGTCTCCAGTAGACGACACCCATGATTTGGGGAATGGTGAGAGCTTTGTCCTACACTCTTCAGACAGGAGTCTGGGTAGTCAGGGACTCTGTCCAGTCCACCAGAGGCCCACAGTCCATCTGCTTCT